TTTACCCACGGAACCGTTACCGCGGTCCTAAGGCAACATTTTGAAATCTATTTTTTAAACCTTGATCACACCCAATTCCAAATCTGTCGTTATAGTTTGGGGATTCAACCAAATTGGCTTAGGTTTCGTGATGGTCAAAAAGATCCAAGACAGGCCTTTGGACATGCTGGATGCCAGTAGCATAGCTCAATGGCCTGGCCTCAGAACCAAGCTAAATGCCAAAGGACTGGAGGTCTCGAGCACTGGTATAAGAACAGAGTCTGGGCAGCTGGAGAGATGGCTCAGAGGTTAAGAGCACTGGCTGCCCTTCCAGAGGTCCTCAGTTCAATTCCCAGCAACCACATGGTGGCTCACAACCATCTATAGTGAAATCTGGTGCCCCCTTCTGGCGTGCAGCATACATGTAACAGAACACATACATAATAAAGTCTTTTAAATGAAGAGTGGAGTCTGAAAGCCAGTCTACCTGGGAGCCTTTCTTTTCTTTTTTGAGACAGGGATTCTTTGTGTGGGTGGAGTGGAGGACAGGGGGTTGGGAGGGTGTTCCTATAGGCTCTAAGACGGAGCTGAGAGCTGGAGCTGCGGGACTACAGGACTGGAGCAAAAGACAGCCCAGAGAGTTCAGGGGAAAGGGGAGCCAGTTGCTTTGGAAAGACCCAGATGGCGCAGCAGGCCAGGGCCTCGCTGCCCGCGTGGTGGGTGTCCCAAGGGCAGAGCAGGCTCCGGGATCCAGAGAGACAGTTCTGGCACAGATAAGAAGAGCGGGTACGGAACATGGAGAGATGTGCAGGAACTCCATCCCGGGGAGGGTTCCAACAGCACAGAAGCCATGAGGGTGCAGAGAGGCTGCAGGACTTAGCAGGCAGCTCCCGACAGGAGGCGAGGAAATCTGCACCAAGTATAGGCCCAGGAAGGTATGAAGAAAGACAGAGCAGGTAGCTCCCAGGGGGAGCGAAAGGGGAGATGTCCACGTTGGTGTAGCAGGCCAGGGGCGTAGCAGGCTGGGGGAGCCAGAGAGAGGTGCCTGTGTACAGGGCACAGCAGGCGGAGGGAGGCGGCCACTGAAGAACAGGACTCTAGGATCTGGAATCAGATTCTGTGGGGGCAGGAACCATCAGAAACAAATGAGCCATACACAGGGTAGGAGAATCAGATCAGACACTCGGTTCAAAGAAGGATGCAGGGGGCAGCAGGGAGGCACAGAGCTAGTGAGGGAGCTGTGTGCATGCTGCGGCTCAGCTCACCTACCCTTTTGCTTTCTCCAGCTCCTGCTAAGTCGCCCTTTGCCACACACTTACAGACCCATCCACTGTAATTTAGAGACAGGGCATTTACACAGCATGAAATGGAATAAGAATCTCCTTTCTGTTCCCCTCAACTGCTTGCAGTATTTGAATAGGTCCTGAGTAATACTGGGTTCCAGGTGTTAGGCCCAGCAAGAGCCTAAATATAAGAAGGTATGAAGAGAACTCAGGAAACTAATCATCCATTGATGTAAAAACGCAAGAGGTTCCTCTTGACCATTGCGCAATGGGGTCACTCCTGCTGGTCAGCTAGGAGTGGCACCGGGAGACAAAGACCTTAGGTTTTTAAAAGACACAAGGCAGGAATCTCCTGGCGTTGCCTTCTTGGCAATTTAGGATTGGATGAGGTGTTTAACTTTTAAAATAATTGGTTAGTTCTGGGCACCCTTAGGTCCAGTCAGCCCTGTCATAAATATCTGATCTTCAAGTCAGTTTGGAATTTCCTGCCATCCACAGTTAAATGTGGGAGGGTGATTAACTCATCCCATGTCTGTTCTGAGGAGTGGGGGTTACAGGCTTTGGATCAAAGGTCAGGAGAAGGATTGGGGCCATTTGGCCCAATTTCCAAACAAAGCCCATCTCACCGGCGCCAGCCGGTGATTTCTCTCCATTTAGTAGAGATCTCTGCTTGTTCTCTTATCTCTGCCCTCACAGATGGCTAATGTCAGGAACTTTTACATTCCTCGGCTCTCTGGAGAAGCACTAAGAGGCTTTAATTAACATGGGCCTAAAACTTGCAAATATAAGTTATAAGGCAATAAAAGAAACATAGGTTACAAAGTTAGTCTGATTCTTTCACAGGATGCTATTAGTTGGCAGCATCTGGATTGATAAAGGGATATTGAGGCCAAATTTGATTGCAAAAGTGAATAAACTTGGAGAGCTTCAGGTCAGGTGCCAGGTGAGGGGTTGGACGCCCTCCAATAGGCATCTGGAAGGGAAACCAGGGGGTGTGCCAGTATTCAAGGTCCTAGACCTGACGTCCAGTGTCCAAAGATGAAGGGGGCACGGATCTGGAAGACAGAAGCTGTTCAATGGGTCATCACCTCATTGAAAAGGCTGAGGACACTAGTACCAGGGTTTTCGAGGAAAGCCAAAATGTGGAAGCTGAGCTAAAAAATGAAGCCTAACTTGAAGGGAAAGGGTCTGGAGCAGGGTGGGCTCTTCCACCTCCAAGAACACCAGAGACGCAGAGAAACATTTATGCTGACCTAGAGGGATCATTCACCAATGACCAGTGGTAGATGGAGGGCCAAGCATTGTGGGCCAGAGGTGACTCCGTCGTGAGTGGAGCTGTGGGGAGGGTCCCAGTGTGGCTTTGACCCCCAGAGGACACTAAGGTATCCTTGTGGTGAAAGTTTACCTTGGTGAGTCAAGGCAGAATGTGCAGAGATCACAAGCAAGAGATGTACTGGGTGGGGCACAAACAGCCAATTCTGAGTGGGGGGGGGGGGGACTGATGACGCGGTGAAAGAATCAGACTAACTTTGTAACCTATGTTTCTTTTAATTGCCTTATAACTTCTCCAGAGAGCCGAGGAATGTAAAAGTTCCTGACATCAGCCATCTGTGAGGGCAGAGATAAGGAAGAGAACAAGCAGAGATCCCTGCTAAATGGAGAGTAAATGACCGGCTGGTGCCGGTGAGATGAGCTTTGTTTGGAAACCGGGCCAAATGACCCCAATCCTTCCCCTGCATAGCTCCTGACCTTTGATCCAAAGCCTGAAACCCCCACTCCTCAGAACAGACACGGGATGAATTAGTCACTCTCCCACCTTTAACTATGGCTATATGTCATATAGCAGGAAATTCCAAACTGACTTGGAGAGCAGATATTTACGGCACAGCTGACGGGACCTAAGGGTGCCCAGAACCAACCAATTATTTTAAAAGTTAAACACCTCATCCAATCCCGAATCGCCAAGATAGCAACCCCAGGAGATTCCCGCCTTTTGCCTTTTAAAAACCTAAGGTCTCCCGGTGCCACTCCTAGCTGACCAGCAGGGGTGACCCCATTGCACAATGGTAAGAATACACCTCTTGCGATTTTGCAGTGATGGATGGCTAGTCTCCTGGGTTCTCTTCACACCTTCTTATATTTAGGCTCATGCTGGGCCTAACAATGGCTTTATAAAGAATACAGTGGCTGTGATGATGTGGCTGCTGGCACTGGGTCTCTGAAGGCAGGCTGGGTTCTGGAGTGTGGGTAGTTCCTAACATACGCCCTACCTGTAACCTTAACTATAAATGGTACTATATCGCCCTGTTCCAGAAAATAGCAACCATGTCTTTGTTCCAAAATATCGTTATGACCATCTTGCAACCCTACCTTTGTTTCAAAAGGCTGTTAATACCCACCTGTTGTTATGACTACCTTGTTATAACTGTTCTATTATGACCACATCCTTCTGTTCGGCTGTAACCCCGCCTATTTGCCTGCCAAATCCTCCACTTGGAAACCCCCCCACCCCCCCGCCCCTGAACTATTAAAAATCTTCTCCAGTCTAAGGCTGACCTTTTGAACACACCTTAGGAGCAGGCAGCCAGTGTACGTGAATTTACAGAGCTTTCTTTGATTTCCTTGGCCATGATGATTTGGGTCGGTGGTCTTTCTCCTCCTGTCTTTGGGATTAGCAGGAACCATCCATTTTTAGGTTTTTTTTGTTTTGTTTTAAGTTATTCTTAAAATTTGGAGTAACGGGCCGGGGGCGGATTGCGCGAGTGCGCGTGGAGGTCAGGGCCAACCTGCACTCTCCAACCACATGCGTTCCCTGCATAGAACTCGGGGTGTCAAGCTCGGTAACAACCACCTTTCCCAGGGAGCCTCACTGGCCCCGAGTCTCTGTGCCTAATGATCTGGATGCTTCTCTTTTAAAACTGGTAGCGCGCGAGGCGCAGACGAGGCGTGCCTGAACTTCATCTCCAACTTCTGCTTTAACCGTAGGATGCTAGAGCATGGGAACTGATACAGACCCCGTGAGCCCTCTCTTCTCCTGCGGCAGCACCGAAGGCCGCTGCGTACGCACCGCTACCAAGGAAAGCCTGCCTACGACACAAAATGCTGGGGTTAGGCTTCCAGGGCCTGGGTCCCCCGGCCAACGGCCCCAGCAAGATGGAGGCAGGGTCTAAGTCTTCAATCCCTCCCTGTGCGTGCCGGAGCTGGCTGCCTTTCTTTGTTTCTCCACCTCTGTCTCCGCCTGCCGTCCTTTGTTCCGACTCCCGCCTGTTCCTCTGCAGGCCCCCCGCCTCTGAGGGGCCCCTGACTCTGCTCGCACCCACTGACGCCTCCCTTATCTGTTTCTCAATCTCTTTGTCTCCGGTACTCGGTCTCTGCGCATCGTCTCTGGCGTCCAGACTCGTGGCCCTTAGGCTAGGACTTGGCGGGCTAGGGCTCGGCCTGGGCGCCCCCAGCCCAGCCCCCACCCCAAGCTGGGCTTTGCCCCCCCCCCCGTCGTCCCGCCCCGCCCGCCGGGTCTTTGTAGTCCTTTGTCTGCCTCGGTCTCTCCCACTCCGTCCCCGGGCTCTTTTCCGGTCGTCCCACGCGGCCAGCCGGGCGCCGGCGCGCCATCCGGACAGGGCGAGGAGGCGCGCCGCGGGGCCCCGCTGGAAGGGGTCCCCGCCGCCGCCGCCGCGGAGCCCCCGGCTCCTCCGGGTCCTAGAGCGGCTCGCCGAGGCCCGCGCTTCCGCTTCCCGTCCCGCCCCGCGGCGCCTGGGACGTGGGTCGAGCCCCCTCCCGGCGCGGCGCGGCGCGGCGCGGAGCTCGCATCCCCGCCGCTGGCCGCCGGGTCCCTGTTGCGCCCCTGGGAGCCGGACGGCGGGCGTTCGGGGCCGGGGGATCGCCGGAGCCTCGCCCGGGTCGCCGGCCCACCGTGCCGCGCGCGACACCGCCCCGGGGCGCCGAGCTCCGCGGCGCAGCGGACTGGGAGCGGCTGAGAGGCGTCCGCACAGGTGAGGGCGGCGGCCGGCGCTGCGCCCACAGGTAATGGGTGTCCGGGGGCCCGGGAGAGTCGGACGTGGGTGAAGGGGCCAGAGAGTAAAATCCGAGAGGCAGGAGCCAACGTTTCTGAGCACCTACTGTGTGCCAGGCCGGGAGGGGCACCCTCCCCCACGCTCTTTCCTCCCCCCGGCCCTCCCCCATCCTTACGTGCCTCAACCCTGCGCAGGCCTCCGGGCTCAGTTGTGGTGCCCCCCCCAACACACACACACACACACACACACACACACACACACACACACACACGCACGCACCCTTTCCCCCAGCAGCGTGCGTTCTGCAGCCAGCCTGGTGTAAATCCAGCCCTCGTCCTGGCTGCCCTCTCAACCTCCTCCAGCCCTCCTGCTCTCTAGTAGTTGAAAGCCTTAGTGAACCTAGCGTTAAGGACAAACCTTGTGAGCTCAGGCTAATCTCTTTCCCCCACGGAACCGCATTCCTTTTCATGGTTTTTCTCGTTGCTGCAGAGGGATGCCTGTCCTTGACTACTTATCTCTTGTCTTTCTTGGGACAGCAGAGCTGTTCCGAACCCGCAGTTAGACTCCTTGCCACTCTGTCTTTTCCCTCCTACCACCCCCGTATCTGTCTGTCTGTAGGGAAGTAAGTACGCAGGGTCGTTGAAGTTGCGGGGGGGTGTGTTAGTGACAGGGGCCTATAATCCCACCAGGGTGGAAACTCAAAGCCAGCCTGGACAGTAAGACAGTCTCAAAAACTGGTGGGAAAAACAAAAGACAGGGATTCAGTAGGAAGACTACATACTAGGTTTTAGAAGCAGACAGTATAATGTAACACAGGCTTGGGTGGACAGGAACTAGAAAGTTGGCTGTTCTCTCCTAACTTTCATGTGGTGGTGGCTCATGCCTTTAATCCAAGCTTTCAGGAGGCAGAGGCAGGCGGACCTCTGTGAGTTTGAGGCCAGCTGGGTCTACCCAGTGATCTCCAGCACAACCTCTCTACACAGAGAAACCTTGTTTTGAAGAAAAAAAAAAAGAAAAATAATTTACTTTAATTCTCTTTGTTTCAACGAGTGTAAAATAAGAGACTAATATTATTAATAGGATTTGTTTAGTTTAGTGATTGTTGATTTAAAACACAGTAAGCCAGGAGGTGGTGGGTACTGAGAAAAGGGTTTGTTTTGAGACAGGTTCTTACTGTGCAGCCTTCTTGGCTGGCCTTGAAATAGCTCTGCCTAGCCGTGCTGCCCCAGCGCTGTGATTAGAGGCATGTGCCACCATGCCTGGCAGGACTGAAGGTTCAAGGCCAGCCTGGGCAAGTCCTGGAAACCCCCGTCCCAGCTGGAGCTGCAGCACGGTAGCACTTAGAGTCACTGAGAGACAGGTAATTAGTGCTCCCTAAATTCAACAGAGAGGGAGACAGTTCAGGAGATGGAAGAGCATTCAAGAAGTCTTACTGGGGAAATTACCGGAGTTTACCACTAAGGGTAGAGGCCGCGGGTTCCACTCCAGCAGCACCAGAAGGAAAGGTGAGGTTGAGCCAACGAACGGGTAGACGTAAATTCTGTTTTCTTTTCCCAGGTCTAGGGAGTGAGAGCATGGAGGCCTCTCCGGGGAATGAGTTTGAACCCACTCCAGAGGAGAGGGATGGCTCAGACTTCAAGGAAGAGGACCAGTTAGCCGCCAGCCACGAAATAGAAAGTGCTTCCCTCAAACCTGAGGACCTCCAGAGCTGGGAGGAGGAGTTGTGGCTCCACAGAGAAGGCCTTGCAAAGCGTCAGCCTGGAGACCCGGTCCCCCAGGTCCTGGGAGAACCCCGCTGGGGGCAGGGCAGTAATGACCGAGCCGCGGTGTGTGGCGAGTGCGGCAAGAGCTTCAGGCAGATGTCCGACCTGGTAAAGCACCAGCGGACCCACACCGGCGAGAAGCCCTACAAGTGCGGAGTCTGTGGCAAGGGCTTCGGGGACAGCTCCGCCCGCATCAAGCACCAGCGGACTCACACTGGCGAGAAGGCCTATCGGGTCCGGCCGGCAGCCCCGGGGCCTCCCAGGATGCCTCGATCCCGGGTTCCTGCCGGCGAGCGCCCCACTATCTGCGGGGAGTGCGGCAAGAGCTTCCGGCAGAGCTCCGACCTGGTGAAGCACCAGCGCACGCACACGGGCGAGAAGCCCTACAAGTGCGGCGTGTGTGGCAAGGGCTTTGGGGACAGCTCCGCCCGCATCAAGCACCAGCGAACACACAGAGGGGAGCAGCTCCCCAGGCCCGCGGTTCCCCGACGGCAGCCATCTCAGGCAGCGCCAACAGCTCCCAGCAGGCCCAAGGCCCAGGACAAGCCGTACGTGTGCCCCGACTGCGGCAAAAGGTTCGTGCTGAGCTGCAGCCTGCTGAGCCACCAGCGCAGTCATCTGGGACCCAAACCCTTCGCCTGTGACGTGTGTGGCAAGGAGTTTGCCCGAGGCTCGGACCTGGTGAAGCACCTGCGGGTGCACACGGGGGAGAAGCCATACCTGTGCCCCGAGTGTGGCAAGGGCTTCGCCGACAGCTCCGCCCGGGTGAAGCATCTCCGCACCCACAGCGGCCAGAGGCCTCACGCCTGCCCGGAGTGTAACCGGACCTTCAGCCTCAGCTCCACCCTTCTTCGTCACCGCCTTACCCACGTGGAGGAGCCTCAGGACTTGAGTTGCTCAGGCTACCCCGTGGTCCTCCTCATTCCCAACCCACCACCACCCCCTGATGGCACCAGCCCCTCAGTGACGCCTCGAAGCCCTTCACATTCCAGTGATGGGCCCTTCGGCCTGCCTGGCTTGGAAGCAGAGCCTGGGGGACCCCAGGCTGGGGAGCCACCCCCACCACTGGCCTGCGACAAACCCCACAAGTGTCCCGAGTGTGGCAAAGGCTTCCGACGGAGCTCCGATCTGGTGAAACACCATCGAGTGCATACAGGGGAGAAACCCTACCTCTGTCCCGAGTGCGGCAAGGGCTTCGCTGACAGTTCCGCCCGAGTCAAGCACCTCCGAACCCACCAGGGCGAGCGCACCAGACCGCCGCCACCATCTACTCTCCTGCGGCCACATAACCCTCCTGGCCCTGTACCCGTGGTCCCTCAGGCTCGAGTGCGGGGACAGCCCTCTGGACCCAGCCAGCTTCACGTGTGTGGCTTCTGTGGGAAAGAGTTCCCCCGGAGCTCAGATCTAGTCAAACACAGGCGTACACATACCGGGGAGAAGCCATACAAATGTGCCGAGTGTGGCAAGGGCTTTGCAGACAGCTCTGCTCGTATCAAGCACCAGCGTGGGCATCTGGTCTTACGGCCCTTTGGGGTAGCGGATGACCAGCCAAGGCCCCTCCAGGAGGAGTCACCAGCGGGAATAGAATGATGGGGAGTCTAGGGAGGGTAGAGGCCCAGGGTGTCAGAGAGGAACCTGGGAAACGGTGGGAGGGACGCGAATAGATAGAAACAGAGATTAAAGACCATAACCGTCATGCTCAGGAAACTGTCTGGTGTAGGTGCTGGGACCTTGCCAGTATGAGCTGCTAGAACCCTGCCTAGCGCAGAGCGGGCACTCAATAGTTTAAAATTGACGAGCTGGACTCACTTCTAAAACCCTGCTGCCTTTTCTTAACTCCTCCCTCAACTGTGCACGGTGTGTGCAGCCTTTAATTCCGGCACTCAGGAGACCAAGGCAGGCAATTCTCTCGAATTCGTGGCCAGACTGATCCACCTAGAGATTTCTAGGTCAGCAAGGAGTACATGTTGTAACAAAAAAACAAACAAAAAAACCCTGGATCCTGCCAACTTTAGGCTGGGAAAACAGATAATTTGAATTTGAGGTGTTAAAACAAGGCAGGGGCATCTTGACCACCCTGAAGGGGAAGTATTGCCATGGTAGAGGTGGGAAGCCACCTTTACTTGTGGATCCCTGGACATGGTGTGAATCTATGCGCTGTTGAGGGCCCTTCCCACCCTGACACTGGGGCACTGATGAAATAGAGCAGAACTAGCGGGGGCATTCAGAGCTTCCAGTCTGGATACAAACAGCCTAGGTCATCATGGACATCTGCAAAGACCAGCTTGCCGAGCAAGGGCAGGGCCAGTGCAGGCCAGAGAAGCTTCAAGTCTCCACAGCTAAGTGTCTGTCTCCTTACTAATAAATTGTCCCTTGTCTGAGGTTTGAGTGTGTATGTATATATATGTGTGTGTGTACATGAATAAATACAAACCCCAGCAAGGATTGAAGTAGGTTTAGAGGCACTGTTGTAGGCAAATCTATTGTTGAATATTAATATTTATTATTGATTTATCCTTTAGTTAATCTGGTTATTCCTAAATCAGCTGTATACCCAAATCACCACATAGAGACTAGGATTTATTTGATTAACCTAGAGCACAGTGCTGCGTAATAGTCACTTTATCCTCAACCTCAAGCCCACGTAGTTTCCTACCATTCAGATTTCACCTATTTGCTTTTAGTCAAATCTTAGGTCTGGTTCATCTCTCCTCATGGTTCCAAGTCCTCTGCCAATCTCTGCTCTCCTACCCTCCCACTCGCTTCCATCTCCCCTCCGACCAGGATGTCCCACCCTGTACTCTCCATTGCTCAGCACTGTGGCTGGTTGTTCTATTAACAATACAAAGAACAAATGATGGCATGTTTACACAAACTTGAGACAGGTGATGCTTAGAATAAGCATCACAGTGCAATGTCTGGATTAAAACCAGACAATGGGGTAGGGAAATCAGCATTTGAATGAACAAGGGTAAACTGTATACATTCCACAAGAACATGATATCAACACACATTCCTCAGCCATGGTTCTTTAGGAATCCCTTTAAGTCCATTCAATAAATGATTGTCTCAGAAAACGTAGCTGCTTTCATTGGAGGAAGGTTGCCATGGCTCATGCCTGTAATCCCAGAATTTAGGAGGATGAGGCAGGAGGATCACTTGGACCTGGGACAGGCTGGGCTATCAAGTGAGATCCAGAGCCAAAGAAAAACAATTAAGTCTTCAGGTGTGCCAACTGAATCTAGCTACCTAGACCCTTGAAAAGAAAACTGAGGTGCCAAGGAAGGAGGGCTAGTGACTGGGGGCCTGGTGATGAGTAGCCCTGGCAGGATGTTGCCAACCTGCCCGGTACAGGTTCAGAAAGTCTGGGTGGTAATTCATCAGCAAGGGATACTGGAAGACCCGTTCCCCGAGGCCTTTAAGATTTCCGATATTTCTCCAGCACCAAAACTTCCTTGGGAGCAGGAAGCAGGTGTGTATCTTGTTCTAAGTGCCAAAAGTCAGGAAGGAGACAAACTAATTGTCCAATGGCAGGAATCTTTAGTTCCATTCAGCTTATTTGGCAAGTCTCTGCCAGACCTGGTAACTCGGCCAATTGTTCAGGAAGTCGGAGAAGTTCTCCCAAGATCTTAGCCATCTGACTGGCTTTTGCAGAAATCAGTTGTTTCAAACCTTTATGAAGGTGCTTGCATACCCAAAACCCTGGAACTTTGCAATGTCCCCCAGGCTTTTTTAGAGACTTGTGCATCTCAGTGAGTAAGACACCCCATTGGCCTTGAATGGAGGAGCCCTTTGAGGGGCTTTTGGAAGTTTTGTTTTATTGTTTGTTTTTGTTTGTTTGTTTTTTTGATGCTTTGTCTCCTTTATCCAAGCAGAGCCCAGTAAACTGAATTTTTGTCGGGCCATGTCACTGCTCCATGGAAAACCCTGTCATCAGGCTGCAGAGATGGCTCAGAGGTTAAGAGCACTGTCTGCTTCCAGAGGTCCTGAGTTCAAGTCCCAACAACTACATGGTGGCTCCCAACCATCTGTACTGGGATCTGATGCCCTCTTCTGGCATGCAGGTGTACATGCAGATAGAGCATTATATACATAAAAAATAAATCTTAAAAAAAGAGAGGGAGAGGGAAAGAAAGCCCTGACGTTGCTTCATACTCTGAAGCTCCTGGGCTGGGCGGACGGCTCAGGGGTGAAGAGGACCTGTTTCTCTTCCAGCACCCACAGCAGCTTACACACCAGTCCTAGCCCGTCTTCGGGGATCTGATGTCCTCTGAATTCTGCCACACCAGGCATACTCATGGTGCACACACAGAGATGCAAGCAAACACTCGTACACAGAAAATTTTGAAGTCTTTTTAAAAGAGGGAGGGGGCAGACCTGATAATCCCAAAGATTTTCATGTTACATGGGCCGCCTCTCCCTAAGGCAGGGTTCAAGAGGGCAGTATTAGACGGGAGGAAGACAAGGTTTTTATAACTCCGGGCAGAGGTTTTCAAATGGATTTGGCAGGCAAAATAGGTGGGGAAAGAGCAGTAGAAACATAAGCATATGAGGTCATCCGGACCTCCTGAAACAAAGATGACTGCCAGGTGGTCCTAACAAGGCACTCCTAGGTGGCCACAACCTTTTGAGACAAAGGGAGGGCTGCAAGATAGTTGTAAACCATGTTTTGAAACAAACGCGTGATTGCCGTTCCTGGAACAAGCAAAACAGAATCATTTGTAGTTAAGGTTACAGGTGGGGCATAGCCTAGTCCTTGAGAAACAGAGGTTTAGTCACTAACAGGAATGAACTTACTTTGTCTTTACTGTAAGATGGCTTTTAAGCCTAAAATGCAGGCAGGCTAGTTCTTCAGTAGTCATAGTTCCAGCTAGTCATAAGAACCTTTTGAAACAAAGGTAGGGCTGCAAGATGGTGATAAACAACTTTTTGGAACAAAGGCATGGTTGACATTTCCTGGCACAGGCAGTACGGAACCATTCGCAGTTAGGGTGACACGTGGAGCATGACCCAATCCTTGAGAATCAGACTGAATCAAACAGGAATGGACCTAGTTTTGTCTTTACTGTAAGATGGCTTTCAAGCCTAAGATGGAGGCAGGCTGGCTCATCAACTCCCGTTAAGCGTTAGGCCTTCCACTTGCATTGCTTTTTACAGAGTGCATTGTTCTCTGTTCTTTTTCCTCCACTGAGAATTTAGCTGAGACAGTCAAAACTGAAATGTAGAGATCTGAAGAGGCCGGATCCAAAAGGGCTGAGGTAAGCTGTGTCCTGCCTTGTGGATTTTTACATTTTAATGAAGATTCTGAGGCAGAAGGCATATTTATGGGTCTAAGATGCTCTCCCTTTCCCCCTCTCCTCATGATGGATCAGACCTTTTCAGGTTATTTCTCTGCACGTTACTCTTGAAAGCCCACAAACGTGGAGGGTGAAGAATCAAAACCACAGTGCAAACAATGTAATGAAGGAGATCTGCAATGAAAGTTTTAGGTTGTTTGTAAACTCATGTAACGTAAATATGTCTTTGTTTTAATTCCAAGTGTGGGATTTCAGTTGGCCTATAGTTTGTCCACACCTGTTAACTGTCACGTGTGGAGGGTGATCTTTGCCAGCTGGTAACAGTCTGCCACACACGACAAGCAAAGGGGCATGTTCTAGGCATATAAATTGAGAGCCCAGAAACAGAAAATGGGCTGTGTCATGGGGGGCAGCGTGTCGCCGTTTGGAAAGACCAGAGAGACAGACTGTATGGCGGTTTGGAGCAGACAGATGGAGACAAACGTTTCAGGGCGCAGCGGCTTGGAGGAGACTGCTGGCTGCGTCTGCTGCTGGCAGAGATTGGTAGAGCCCTAAGAGAGCCCCTCGGCCCTAAACAGCTGGGAGAAGTCAGTCCTCTTTCCCCAGTAACCTTCTCTCTCCTACGCAGGGTTGGGAAGTTGGAAGAGAGGCTGAGGCCTAAACAGCCCAAATAAAGTAGAGTTTTACAAAGAGTGCTACGGAAGACCTTGAGCAGGAAGACCTTCCTTGGTACACACGTTTGGCAAAGTGCTGAATGGCAGTAGTTTCTGGTGCAGCCAGAACCTAACTGCCACTTTAAGAATATTTAACTGGGGTGGAAAGAGGGCTCAGTGGCAGGAGCGTTTACTGCTCCTGCACAAGACCTGGGTCGGTTTCCCAGCACCCATATGGTGGCTCACGACCATCTGTTAGCCCACCTCCAGGAGATCTGAGGCCTTCTCCTGACCTCCGGGGGCTCCTGCAGGAATGTGGTACACATACATGTACTCAGCCACACACAAATACATAAAAAAAAAAAAAAAAAAAAAAAAAAACCACACAAAACCCTTTTAGGACCGGACAGCTGCCTGTCAAGTGTTTGTTGCTCTTTCAGGGGGGCAAGGGTTGGTTCCCAGTACCCGTGTGCAGCCTCACAACTGCCCTTAGCTCCACCTCAGGAGATCGGACACCATCTTTCGGCCTGCTCAGGCACCTGCAAGCCTGTGTGCACACGCCAGCATAGCTTTTTAAACCTTAACTTAAAAAAAAAAAAAAAAAAAAGCGTTTAACTGCAAAGGAGCATTCCGACCATCAGGAGACGGCTTCCAACACACAGACAGCAGCCTCTTCAGTTACCTCAGTTACCTCAGGCCGCGCGTCCCTGCTCAGTCTGTTTAGCCTTTCATTTTGAAATGGAGTCTTCTGTCTTGCTGGCTTTGAACTCATGATCCTCCAGAGTAACTTGGGTTCACAGAGGTGAGCCACCACACCGACTTCAAATTTCTGTTCCCAGTCCCACGAGGAGCTGATGTCCATAGATGCCCTTGGCAGCATCAGAAGTGTGTCTTTAAAACACACGGTCCTCTCTGCTCTAACCTTCTCTCTCCTTCCTTTCTTTTAACAAATTTTTAATATATATATATATATATATATATATATATATATATATATATATATGAGTCTCACTATGCAGGCCTGCCTGGCTTCAAATTGCAGAAATCCACCTGCTTCTGCCTCCCCAGTGCTGAGTGGCACCGTGCCCAGCTAAAAATACCTAGAAGGATCAGCAAGACAGTTGAGACAGCGCTGTATTATTGTAGACTGGACTTGACCTTGGGCTAATTTTCCACCCACACTGCCAGTTGTCAGAAATGCTTCCTCACTGTATAGCTTAGGCAAATCAGTCCTCCCTGAGCCATGGTGAAGTAAGTGCATGTGTAAGGCAGGGCCGTGATCCTTTGTGCCGAGCAAATGTGACCAAGTGGGTAAAACAGTCAGTAAACTGACACGAATTATGTACAAAAGCCAGGCACGGCTGTGCTCTGGGCATGGGGGCGGGGGGGGGGGGGGGGACAGAACTAGAACTAGGCTCGCCACTAGTTCGAAACTAACCAGGGCTACACAGCGAGACGCTGACGCCAAAGTCAGCAACGGCAGACTGGGCGGCCGCGGATCTGGGCCGTGCGCGGGCAGACGGCGAGCTGTCCGGCAGGCCGGCACACGCGAAGAGGGACGGGGACGCAGAAGGGGGGGAAGAGGAGAGGAGGCAACAGGGCCCGCTGTCCAGGCGGGGCGCCAGCGAGAGGCCCGCGGGGGCGCACGTGGCCTAGGCGGGCGCAGCAGTCACGGCGGGGCTTCGAGAGCCAGCGGCGGGGCGGAGGGCGGCTGGGGGTGGTCGGAAGCCGGCTGCGGGGCCTTCCAGGCCCGGCCAGGCATCTGGCGTTCCCTACGAGTTTCCGGACCGCCGACACCTCGGAGTCCCCGCTCCCCCTCCTGGGGCGGTTAGGGACAGAAGCCCTGGCCTCCGGCCTCTCCCCTAGGGGCGGGGCCAGGCGTGCGAGCCAATGAATGGCCGCCCCTGGGGCCCCGCCCCGCCCCCGCCTCCGGAGCCGCGGCCTGCGCTGAGCACCCAACCGCCCCTCGCCCAGGCCCGGGGCCGCACGAGCGCCGAACCTCGGGCTGGTGAGTGCGCACCCCACCCCAGGGCCTCCGCTCCAGCTGGCCTCCAGCCAGTCCCTTAGCGCTCGGGTGGCCGACCCAGGCTCCGGGGAGTGACTCAGCGCGAGGAGGG